AACTTATTACAACCTCTATCAACCCAATTGAACAAAATAAAATTAAAATCTTGTAAACTGTTAGGTACCTCATTGTGATCATCCATAGCTCCCTAAAGATTGTATCCTTTTTGAAGATGTTTGATAACATTTCTATTATCTCCTTCAACAATAAGACCTTTATATTCAAACATTTAATTTTGTAAGTAACGGTTAAGGGACTTAACCGCAAGCAAATCTAGCTGATTAACATCCCAATGAATTTTATTTATTCCAAAAGCATAAAGAAATCTTCCTCTATAATCCCGAAAAATTCCTCCAATAGAAGCCTTATAAGAAGATAACAAACAAACATCCACATTTACTTTAATCCAGTCAGGTGGTAAAGGATGCCAAGATTGTTTTAACAGTCCAGCCGACTGATTGACATCCCAGATTCTTGATGATTTTTTAATGATAGCAGAATTTGTAGAAATAAAAGACAGTAACAGTGTTAGAAGCAATAAACACTTTACTATTTTCCCCATCTCCATACACACTTTTGTTTCTGGATTTCCATGATAAGAACACCAACGTGTAATAGATATTTCCTAACACAATATGCTTGGAAGCACGTTGATTAAGCCATTTATAGCAATCTTCAAAACTATTAAAAACCGGTAAATGAAATCCCCAGTTATTAAGGATTTGAATAATCTGATGTAATTTTAAGCATCCCACCGCTACATGCTCAAAATTTTTAGACTTTAAACATCCTCTAGGACAAAAATCTGAATTTATCAATCTTTTATGAAGAAGAAAGTTAAAGGTAGGAATCACCTTATGAAAAATTCTCTACCAGAAATTCTCTACCCGAGAATTCAATCTGAGCTTTTTTATCCACCCCCAATACATCTCATAAGACTCATTGGAAGACAAAGCATTATAAGCCAAATGAGAATTTGTTTTACCAGTCATTTGATTAATCAGTTCCAACTGATCACCTTGTTCTGCAAAATGAATATCAGTTCTGAAAATCAGTTGAACCAAATCTTCACCAAAGTTAATTCTCAGCATATCAAGATTCCAAATACCGTTTGTGATAAATTTCTCTACTGCCCAGTCTGGATCAAGAAAAATAGAAACAAATGTGGGCCACTTCATTAAACTTTTATCAAGAATCCAAATATCATTTAAAACATTGACAAATTTACCATCTCCAATACGCCATCTTGTAATGTTCTTGAGAGCTTTGGCACCATCTGATATAATTTTCCAAGCTGCAGATTTCTTACCAGCAATATTTTTAAAGTCCGAACCATATTTAGAATGCAGAATATTATGCAGCAAACATTCTTTATCATTCAAATAATTCCAAGTCAGCTTTGCTCTGATCGGACCAACAAATTTTGAACAAGAATGGACTCCTCTACCCCATATTCTATTGGTTTACACAAAACATCCCAATTAACATAGTGTATACCATTTTTTACCATTTTGTTTATTCCAAATAAAAGCTCTACTCAATTTATCAAGCTCAACAAGAATACATTTAGGAATAAGAGTATGAGCCAATTGGAAGATAGGATATGCCGAAATAACTGACTTAATAAGAGTAATCCTCCCTTGTAATGACAGAAATTTATTCCCCCCAATGTTGATTTTCTTCACAGATTTATCTAGTAAATTCAGGAAATCTTCACGAAATAATCTTCTCAAGGCAATTTTCACTCCCAAATAAGTCATTTCCTTAACCGTTCTCAGTCCCATAATTCGAACAATTTTCCTTCTTTTCTTTTTCTTCACCGCTTTACCGAAAAGAATAACAGATTTACTGTAATTAATAAGTTGGCCCGTCCATTTACAAAAATCCTCCATAATACTTTTAATTTCTTTAACCATCTTAGTATTGGCTTCAGAAAACATAATAATATCATCTGCATAAAGCAAATGAGAAATTCTAGGTATACTAGAATGAACTTTGATTCCCACCAATTCTCCTTTATTGATCAAATTATTTGAAAGAAATTGAGAACATAAGATGAATAAAAATGGAGATAGTGGACAACCTTGACAAAATCCACTCTTAGCCATAATCCATTTGGAATAATTCCCATTAATCAAGATAGAGAATTTAGCATCCACCACACAATCCATGATAAGATTAGAGAATTTATAAGGAAAGCCAAAATACCTCAAAACTTGTTCCAAAGCATGCCATCCCATGCTATCATACGCTTGTTCCATGTCAAATTTGAAAGAAACCATGCCTTTAGTAGATTTAGAAAATTGATTTAAAGATCTTCCCTTCAAAAAAGCAACTTGTTCCATATAAATTAAATTTTGAATCAAACCCTGCATTCTATTTAATAGAATTTTTGCAATCAATTTATAAATTGATTTACAAAGGCTAATTGGTCTGTAGTTAGAAGGCATTGTTGGATTATCAGTTTTTGGAATTAGAACTATAATGTTCTCTTTCCAACCAGGTTCTATGATTCCAGTAACAAACACATTTTTAATAGCATTCCAAGTATCACTTTTGATAATAGACCAATAATTTTTCAAGAAGGAATAAGGTATACCATCAATACCTGGTGATTTAAAACCCTGCAAACCTATAACAGCTTCGTTAACCTCTTCCACCGTGAGATCAACATCAAGTTTCTTACAGTCTTTAGAATTCAAGACAGCAAAATTAGGAGGCAAATCTTCTAAAAACACTCTCTCGAACACCATTTTTGATTGAAATAACTAATAAAAATGCTCTCAATTTCCTGTTGTTCTTCCACCTCAATACCATCTTCATTTTTTATCTTTGAAATCCAATTCGTATTCCTTCTGCCATTAGCAAAAGATTGAAAAAATCTGGAATTTTTATCACCATTTTTTTCCCAATTGATTTTAGTTCTTTGTCTCCACCAAGAATTAAGTCTTGCCAAAGTGCTGTTCAGATCATTAACTTTAGATCTTAAGAGTAAGATCTTATCTTCAGAAAGACAATCAACAGAAGCTTCTTACAATTGTAAATTATAAATTTCTTTCTTAATAAAATCCCTCAGCTCATCGAGGTCTTTTAATTTTGCTTTACTCCAAAAGTATAAAGCTTTCAAGGATCTATTTAACTTTTTATCCAGGATTTTAGCAAAAGAACCACTACAACTTTTGTTCCAAACATTACGAACAATACCTGTAGAAGCCGGATAAGATGACCAGTAGTCTTCAAACTTAATAAACTTCTTTGTTTTAGGAATTTTACTACCAAGATCAAGCAAGATAGGACAATGATCCGAAGCAATCCTTGGAAGATGACGAACCAACATTAAATGGGAAGAATCAATAGCAGCAGAATTTAAGTAACACCTATCCAACCTCTCCAAAATGCGAGCACCACCTATCTTGTTGTTGCACCAAGTAAATCTAGGTCCCAAAAAACCGGCTTCATGTAATTCATTGTTGATAAAAAATTCTTTCATTTCTTTAGCTCCTTGAGAAAACAAAAATATCTTGCCTCCTTTCTTATCTTCTTTGGCCAATAAACAGTTAAAATCACCACCTATGATAGAAGGAATATCCTTAGAAGAATACAATTCAATATTCCTCCAAAGTTCCCTTCTCCCGACCACCTTTTTATGACCATACACAGTAGAAATTCTCCAAGTCCCCATCTTTAAAATGTTTAAATCACCAATAATACAATTGGAAGAAGAAGAGCATAAAGAAAAAGAAGCAAGGTTGGATCTCCAAATAACTAAAATACCACCAGATAATCCATTAGAAGGAGAATAACAAAAATCCCAATCAATACCAATTAAAGAATTGATATCTTTTGTACTAACCGAGGTTAGTTTAGTTTCTAACAACCCAACAAATATCAGCCCATAATCCTTCACAATATCCTTCAAGTAAAGAGAAGCTTTATTTTTCCTAGCTCCTCTACAATTCCAAAAAATTATAGAGGCCATTTTAATGAAGAGAAGGGGAAGAGTTCCCCGCCTTTTTAACATCTCATTCAATTCTTCTATTCCTAAGAGAAAGCTTGATAGGACCTAGTCCCTTAAGCTGCTTGGAATTTCTCTTTTTAACAGAATTAGAGTTATCTCCTTTCCCTTCCAATTTTTCAACTAAAGTCTCATCACCTCCATCCAGATTATGAGTTATAGCATTAGGAATTAATTCCATATCATCAGCAACTTTATCCACATTACACTGTACTTCTTCATCAATGACATTTTCCTTTTCATCAATATTATCTCCATCATCAATTTCCTGAGCAATTTCTCCTTCCTCCATAAAATCCCGTAAAAAATCAAATTTATTGGAATGAGAAATCAGACCAATCTTTGCTGAAGACATCCTCTATGGATCTGTAATGACCCGAGTCGGACTTTGCATTTTGTTCAAATCCTCCATAATTGGTTTAGAAACTTTTGTCTCCTTCTTCTTCTCAATTCAAGTTGCAGCTTCAATCTTTTTATCACGCTTTTTCATACCTATAAAAGGTAATTTCCTCCTGTTTAACAATTTCTTCTTTCCATAATTCACATGGATCCAAGGCCCATGATTATCTTCCGTAGATTTCAAATCTGCCTTCTTTTGGAAAACAACATCATTCTTCATAATCGATATATTCAATTCTTTAGAGCTTTGCTGATCACCAATAACTTCCATCGCTGCATCCATCTTCTCAGGGCAAACATTTTTCAAGTGTCCAATTCTTCCACAAGATAAGCATAATGAAGAGATCTTTTCAAATTCGATTTTCTGAAAAAAATTTCCATAACTCCCCTCAACCCAAACACCACAGGGGAGTTTATCTTCCAATTTTATACGAACACAAACTCTTGCGAACTCCCTTCTATTCCATTGAAATATACTTCCATCAATCAAATAAGGAGTTCCAACTTGTGAAGCAATTCTACAAACATTTACCTCATCCCAACAGTAAAGAGGTAAGTTCGGTAATCTAATCCAAACTGGAGCTGTAAGCCCTTTTAAAAAAGAGGGAGAAAACATCGGAGACCATTTATCCATATCTATAATATGCCCATTAACATACCAAGGTCCATTGTTCATAACTGATTCCAGAGCTTTAGCATCCTCAAAAGCACATAAGCTCCATCCCATCCCAAGCATTGTAATGTGAAAATTACCAAATTGAGCCCATTGCCTTCTCAATTCATTACTAATCACATAGAGAGGCACATTCTCCCCAAATGCTTTAACAACAAGAGAATTATGCAATTTCTCAATATTCTCTGTTTCCTTTTCCACATTCAGTTTTACAGTGATACCATCTTCAGCTAAAGGCAAGCCAAAATCTTAATCAATGACACGGATATTCTCTTTCTTCTTCCAAGCATTATTCCACATTCAGTTTTATAGTCCCTTAAGCTGCTTGATTCACTTCTTTATTGTTAACAATTTTAATCCCAGAGAATATCTTGTCAGTCATAAAACCATTATCAACAGCATCAACATTTAGAATGTCCGAATTTCTTACCATCATGACAGATGAATCTTGATTTCTCAATTTCACATTTTCAACACAAACATTAGAAATGGGTTTCTGAGAATAACATTTATTCTCCATCAAAACCACTTTGCCTTTACTAATAACAAATTCAGATTTCATATGTGGGCGCAAGCCTCCTTCACAAATCGCCAAAGAACCACCCTTCCTCATTTTCAAAATAGTCGAATCAGAATCTCCAAACGCTAGAAAATATTTAGTAAGATTATCCCCACCTCCATTTGAAGATCGCCGAGGATCACCGGAATCAGCAAGAACCGATGATCGGCATAATCACCGACATCGGAGGAATGCAAAAAGACCGCGAACCATAAATTGAAAATCGTAACACTTCACTCTTTAGAAAACTAGAGCTTCTCTCTCTAGGCTAGATTAGTTGCTAAGGGGTATAATCAGATTGAAGGAATTAATTTTGAGGAGACTTTTTCCCTCTGTAGCTAGACTTGAAGCAATTAGGGTGTTGTTAGCCTTTGCTTGTTTTAAAGTTTTCAAATTATTTCAAATGGATGTGAAAAGTGCCTTTTTAAATGGGGTAATTGAAGAGGATGTTTTTGTAGAACAAACTCCAGGTTTTGAAAATTCTAAATACCCAAATTATATTTTCAAATTGAAAAAGGCATTACATGGACTAAAACAAACACCTAGGGCTATGAGAGGTTAAGCACCTTCTACTTGAAAGATCTTTTGGAAAAGGAAGTGTGGATACAACTCTCTTTTTAAAGAAATTTGGAAAGGAAATACTCATTGTTCATATTTATGTTGATGATATCATTTTTGGATCTTCAAATAAAAATCTTTGTGATGATTTTTCTAAAATAATGAGTAGTGAATTTGAGATGAGTTTAATGGGAGACTTAAATTACTTTCTAGGCTTTAGCATTAAGCAACTTGAGGAAGGTACATTTCTTAGTCAATCTAAATAAGTTAAGGACATCCTCAAAAATTATGAAATGGACAATGCTAAACCTGTTAGTACACCAATGAGTTACTCAGTTCAGTTGGATAAGGACCCTAAGGGAAAATCTGTTGATCAAAAGAAATTTAGAAGGATTATT